GGTGGAATGAACTCCAAATGCACAAGTCAATATTTTCATCTGTTCAGGAAGTTGATGGATGTCCAGAACGAGGTCTGTCATCAATCGACATTTCACCTTTTTTGAAATTAAAAAACCACTCATGTACTTCAGTTTTTTCCCATAGCACAGTCCTTATAAGCTGTGTCCAACATCACAACAGTTTCTGTGGCATTTTTCCAGAGCAAGAAACATTTCACAGCTGCTCGCTGTTCTCTTAAATTGGCCATCACAAAAAAATGAGGTTCAAGCAAAACAACTTTTATGATAAAATTTACTGTGACCAGAGGGAAACTTCCCAGGCGACGCCACTGGGTGTACTAACTCAGAGCGAGTTGCTTGATGAGCACCTAATAGGAAAATGCGTACTGTGAAAGTTATGCTCAGCAGAGCTTTTTTCCTTTGGGGGAGTTGGGGGTACCCCCTCATATAAGTCTTGCTTTATAGAAGTGAAGCAGGCTTGAAGCACGTCCTGATACAAATCAAGGAATACAGTGTTTAAAAAAATTCTCACCACCATTGAGTCCATTCTGACTCCTGGCAACCCTATAGGACAGGGTAGATGCCCTGTGGCTTTCCCAGCCTTGTCTTTCTTCCCAGGAGCGCCAGTGGTTTGGAACTGCTGAGCTTGCATTTAGCAGTTCAAAGGGTAACCACTACACCACAACCTTCAATAGGGATTAAAAATCAGTGTAAGAAAAATAAAATACTGGCAAGTGAGGATTGGTGTAGTGGTTAAACTTGGGATTGAGATTCCCCAAGATTGGCCATTCAAAACCATGATAGAAAGGTGGGGCTTTCTACTCCAGTGAAGAGTTGCAGTCTGGAAAAGCTACAGGGGCAGTTCTACCCAGGCCTATAGAGCTGGAGCGAACGAACCAGATTACCACCAAGCAAGAATAGTCAGAAGCAGAGTGCATCCTGTGGACCATGGATTCCTATGGTGAGCACCTCCTAGATTCAGGGGAAGTTGGGGCTGAGACACATGGAAGTGTTGGCCTACAGATTTCAAAAGAAGAGAACCTTCCCCTACAGCCATCATCCCAGATTTCAATATCTCACCGCCTAAGTAGGTGCAGTGGGTTACACATAGAGCTGCTAACTGTAAAGTTAGCAGTTTGAAACCACCAGCTGCTCAGAGGGAGACTTCCAGTCCCATGAAGATTTACCGTCTCAGAAACCCACAGGGGCACTTCTACTGTCCCATAGTCTCGCTACAATACTGAACTGTTTCCATGGCAGCACTTCCTAAATTGTAAGAAAATATACCTTTCAAAGCCACCCTCTTGTGGCATTTCTGTATTAGATAACTAAGGCACTTAGAGAAGACACTAGTCTTTGTGCCACTTGTTCTTATTGAGATCACGGGAGAAATTCACGTGTATAAATGCCTGCTCACTCATTGAAAGAAAACAGAAGCAAACAGATCTTTCTCCACTCTTCTCTCTGAAGACCAAAAGACTGCTCAGTCTATGCTGTACACTGAAGACCCTCGCTAAAAGGGCCTTCCACTGAACTCAAGCTGTAATTAAGCCTTCCTCCCAAGAGTGCTCATTAAAGGTAAAAGCCTGAAATCTGGACTCTAACAATATTACATCTAATGAATTTGGATGCTCTAGTTCTAAATGAATGTTGTAAAATCTTACTTGCCTCTTTCCATGACTACTTTGCAATCAACTCTGTAACTTCATCTATGCTAAACCTGAGTACAATATTTAAGACAAATTCTAAACAATATATGCCACAATAGGGCCTCAAAAAGTTCTTGGGAATGAAGATAGAATTTTGCCACAAACTTTCTGAAGTCCCTTGTATATATGGATGTCCATAAACATGTTTATGCATGCATATATGTACCAATCGATGTACAATGTTTTCTCACTGTCCAAGAGTATTTTTTAAGCAGAGTATTTTTACGAAACCTTCATAAGCCAAATTGGCAGATAATTAAACATTTTGAGCTTTCAGACCTAAATTAATCTACCAAATCATACCAAGTAACTCATAAAATCTGTTGTTCACATAGTTCAAAGCTATAGCATCTTCATGCTGAGCGTTAGTTCCCAGGGAAGGAGCTTAGCAACATTAGTCTCACTGGGATGTACACTGCTCCTTTAATGCTTAACTGCAATACAGAAATGGAAAAGCTTAAAGTGGATTTTCAACTTTAAATAGCAGGACACCTTGAAAACATTATATATGTATGTTTGGTATTATGTACAAAATTATATATATATATATGGTATTATGCACAAAAGGACTTCAAAATTTACTGGAAATTCATTATTTTTTTAATTCCATGTTTCCACAAACTTTTTGATAGCGTCACATGCAGATCCTTTAAGGAACTATCTGTGGCTACATGGGGTCCCTATTAGACAGCTTACTCTTCACTATGTTTACTTCCTTAAAGACATCAATTCATTCAACACTGAACCACTGTTAACATTGTTACTTCTAGGAAATAAACTGCACTCTGAATATAAGGATCCCACAACAGAAGACTACAGTTCACACACACTATTTAGAAAACTTGCTTACATTATTCACCAAGAACCAGACTCAAATATGTGTTCACCAAATACATTTAACATTGGAATTGGGAATTAAAAATCAGTAACTAAACAATGAATGAAATAGTTTTTAAAAACAGGAATAACTATCACTTTTAAATTATCTTTTCTTAGAAAAAACTTAGTTATTTAATTCACAAGATTCAGAACTCCAGTGTTCCTGGATATTTGACTATATAGGGATAGACCTCTGAAATTTTTAACTATAACTGAGGAAGCGATTACAAATTAATACCTAAACTTCTTTAAGAACTTTCTATGTATGAGGTCTTAGCCTCTCAATTTTTTTAAATCATTTTATTGGGGCCTTAGAGCTCTCATCACAATTCATCCATCTTGTCAAGCACATTTGTACATGCTTCCATCACCATTTTCGAAACATTTTCCTTGAGCCCTTGGTATCAGCACAATTCACCCCCTCCCCCAGCCTCATGAACCCTTGATAATTTCTATTTTTCATGTCTTAACCCAACCACTGTCTCCCTTCACCCACTTTTCTGTTGTCCATCCCTCTGGGAGGAAGTTATATGTAGATCGTGACTGGTTCCCTTTCTCCCACCTTCCCCTTCTAGTATAGCTACTCTCATTATTGGTCCTGAGGGGTTTATCTGTCCTGGATTATGTTGCAAGCTCTTATCTGTACCAGTGCACAAGCTCTGGTCTAGCCAGATTTGTAAGGTAGAATCACTCAACTCTTAAGTTCATGATCTTTTCCATCTGTAGTAAACAGAATTTCATGTCAACTTGAAGATGTGTGAAAGTGTAGAGATCGTATCCAACCTGTCAATCAGGTCACAGCCTGATGGTGCCCCATTGTAGGCATGACCTCATAAGACAAGCCCTAGGAACCTCCCCTTCTGCCTTGCCGGAATTCCTACTTGCTGACAGATAGCTGCTAGAGCCTGCATGTTTCCACCAACTTTGGACCCACTCAACTTTGCACCTACCAGGCCTGTGATCTTCTAAATTCTCCGTTGCACGGGGCTCTGTGAGTCTGAAGAGGAAGTTACTGAGTTAGCCTGGAATGGGATGTTTTCTTGATATACAATTACTTCTTGATATAAAGCTCTCTCTTATACATATATGCGTGTTCCTGTAGTTGCTTCTTTAATCAACCGGGCCTAACACAACATCCTATACTTGCACTATTTTTCTCATCATGGGAAAAACTATACCTAATAGAGGAGCACACACTCAAAAAAGGGCATCATTCACACTACACCAATATCCCCTTTAACTTCTCCTATAAAGCAAAATTCCCAAGAAGAAAAAAATTTGGTTAATGTGATTCTCAGTCTAATATTTAATTTGAAAAATACATGTGATAGACAAAAGAGAAGTTTATTTTGAAATCATTTTAATTTAGAAATAGAAAACATCTTGGAAGGAAAAGAAAATGAAACAAACACAAAATACACAGGACACTTTACTCTATGGTCTTCTGAAACCCTCATTTGTTCACCAATCCCCAAGATGATAGGCAGACTCTTCCAAAAAGCTATTCAGCCTCCACTGTCAAAAAATAAAAAGGAAGAAGAAAAGGTATTTGGTCATTTTTGAGTATATAAAATATTTTTAAAAATTAGTACTATTTGAAATACAATATGCTGTCATTTCATATAGCGAAAACCAATTATTTGAGAATCATGCCCAACTTTACACCAAAATAGTATATTAGCGGAAAATTATTGAACTTTAGGATCTTAGAACTGAAAAGGTCATTAGGGGTGAGGCTACTGAAACAGGACTATCTTAAAATTCAGAAGCTCATTTTAGAAATGTTTAGTACCTTTATGAAAAAGATCATAAACAAACTGCACTATAGTATGACTATGCCAAAGCTGCCCTGTAGTGCAGTGCTTAAGCACTTGGCTGGTAACCGAAATGTCAGCAGTTTGAGCTCACTGACCCTCCATAAGAGAAAATGTGCTACTCAGCTTCTTCACAGATTATAGCCTTAGAAAGCCCATAGGGCAGTTTTACCTTGACCTATGGTAGGGCCACTATGAGTTGAGAGTAACTTAGTGGCAAATGGGTCTGTGGTTAAGATCGGACCTTAATATATAATCAACTAAACCCACATTATCAAGTCCATTCTGACTCATAGTGACCCTAAAAAATAGCGTAGAACTGCTCCGGAGTCCGTGATAATCTTTACAGGAGCGGTCTTATTTGACCCTGGGGTTAGTAGCCAAGCCCTTGACACACTGAGCTCTCAGGGACCCCTTGTCGCTGACTACACGGTTGAAAATAAAGGGAGGGTTCTTCATCACCACTGCTTGCCATGATTACTCAAAGAAAATTGCCTTAATCATAATGAAAACAAACACTACCTTTTCCATGGAAGAACTTCTAAGTATCAAAAACATACATTAAAATTGTATAACCCAATATACATTTTTGTACTGAGATGCTGAAGAAAAGTAATTCTACCAAGTGAAAAACAAAACTATCCCCATATAGCTATATTCGATTTTTCCACACACTCTTTGAAGCACCTTCATACGTGTTCAAGTAGATAAAACTAAGAACAATTAGGGATAATTACCATAGGAAACAAACTAGACCTCAATTTAGAGAAAGAATTTTCTGTCAAACCTGCTTCACAATGTAATGAAATGCAAGAAGAGCAGAAGCAGTGAATGATATGAAATAAGAGATATTTGACAGTGAATTCTGTCGGAGGTGACACTCAACAGGACTGCTTTAATGTTGTGGGTCTCCTAAGTTTTCCACCAGTGAGCGTGCAATTTCACCATTTTCTAGCACTGTATTAGTAGGAGGTATTAATAGTTTTCCTTTTTGTACAGGTGTCTTACACAAGTTCTTTCCCAGGTTTTACTGTACTAATTAGGCAACTGCGGTCCAGAGAAAAAGAATCTGTTAGTGATAACTTACTAACTATGCGGTCAGCAGTTGGAACCCACCCACAGTTAGTGGGAGAACAGTGAGACATCTGCTTCCATAAAGAATTAGTCTCGGAAATCCAAAGGAGCAGTTCTCTGACCCGTATGGTCACTGTGAGTTGGAATCCACTCAATGGCAATTGAGTTTGAGCAGAGATGCTAAGTCAGCAGTTCTCAACCTATGGGTCTCGACCTCTTTGGGGGTCGAACAGGGTCGCCTAAGACCATCGGAAAGCACATATTTCCAATGGTCTTA